TTCAAAGGGAAATGTTACGAGTCTGTTTAGACCCCTAAAATTTCCAGAAGCCCCCCCCCCCTCCAACAGTAAATAACATTAACAAAAAAACGACACATGCCTGTTGGAAAGGGCACAATTTTCTGTTCTTGCCTCGGGTGCAAAAGGAGTTGGCTACAGCTCTGTGTGTGTCTGGAAATATTTGGCTCTAGTAGTTCCCATATCCTTGTATGTTTAGTGAACCAAGAAACTCATCTATCAGCAGATACTACTGATTATGGAAGGGAATTCCACATTTTTACTCCTGGCAGTAAAAAAAAAAAAAAAACCTAGCGCAGTCTAAAACAGACCTATCATTCACAATATTAACCCTGGTGACTGTCGGGGGACTGCACTTTTAACACCACTACACTTCTGGTGGGTTCTCCACTGGGGTCTCTACATTTGACTGCCTACTGGTTATCTCACAGAGGAAAAAAGGGAATTTTCTTACAAGGACCACTTTATGCAGTAAGCTGGAGACTCCAGCCACTTCATGGGTCAGTTCCCAACAGCCATTTTCAGGGACACCAGGGCTGTAGGGTACCTTTTGATTGTTGCCATGGATGCAGACAACCCCAATGCTATTGCTTTGCAGGTCTCTACGGTTTACCAGGGATGACTTCCAAGCAATTTTTACCACACAGCCTGGCCGGTCACAGTTGCTGGTACACATTGATTGAACTCTCACGGAGGGGCTTCTGGTCAGGCTGCAGTCCATAGGCTGCCCCCATCTTGGACAAAAGTCGGCATCGTGACCTTGGCTCTCCAACAGTTTAGGTGGGGTTGGGAGCGTTCCGTAGCCTCAGCAGTGTGACACTGGGAGCAGACTTCAGTCTCGGATAGGTAGACAGAGTCTTGGGTTTCACAGGCGATGGTGGGCTTCCAGTGCAGTGCAGAGGTGGACAAAATGGCCAGGAGTTATCTGTGTCCTGATAAAGCTTTCAACACCCTCAACCAACTCATCTGTTGTTTTTAGGGTCAGGGCGACCAACCCAGTGCTGTAATTACCGCAGTAACTAATAAGACACTAGGTGTAAAGGTATATGTTCACAAATGTATTTAGGGCTGAGACAACTAATCGATTATGATCGATAATGAGAATCGGCAATGATTCTCATTATCGATTTATTGATTTTCGATTAGTTGAAGCCACTGCCACTCTGCTCCCTGTTCTCCTCCCCACTGGTGCCTGCTGCAGCGCTCTGTGTCCCTTTCAATCTCCGCTGCTCTCCCCGCCTGTATCGGCAGAGGCAGAGAGGGGACACAGAGCGCTGCAGCTGGCACCAGCAGGGAGGAGTGACTGCTGTGACTCTGCATTCCCCTGCTTTGATTTCAGCCGTACTTTGGCTGCCTTCAGATGCACTTCGCTCAGCCGAACATGCTCTGCACGTTCGACTGAGCCGAAGTGCAGAAGGACTTCAACTCAGCCGATCCAACATCTGGATCGCCTCAGCCGAAGCTCCGGCAGCTCTCACTCGCTGCCGTTCGCCCCTATTCACATAGGGACAGAACGGCAGTGAGTGAATAGCTGAATGCAGCATTTTGCTAGGCTGTTCTACTCAATACCGGCATGGTACCAAGCAGAATAGAAAATCAATGAAAATAGTCGCAAAAAAATACGAAAAATTTAAATAGTAACATTCTAGCAGGTTGCGGTCAATTAATAACTGGGCGGAGCTGGTTATGACCTCACGGCCTGCTCCACCCAGTTATTGTTTCGTGACAGTTCAGCGTCCCCAGGCCATTTGGAGACGCTGATCTGTCATTACAACTGGGCGGAGCCAGCCATGAGATCATGGCTGGCTCCGCCCAGCTATCATTTGCAGGGCGAAATCAATAAACAAATGCAGTGATGAGTTCAATACTGTGAAAAATTGTGCAATATTGTGTCAAAGTACATAAATAGTTTATACCATGATGAATAAATAAATATCTATCTTCACACAGTGAAATATTAAAAATCAATAGTGCATAAATTATGTGCAAAACCAATTTAAAAAAGTTCATTTCACACCATAGTGATAAGTTAAACTGTCCATAGGTGAAAGATATTCCGTATGTGCAAAAATATATATAGTCCAAAGGTGATCTGTCAATAAATCATTTGATCTCCTTGTGCCACACAGACACCCCCTTAAGAGTACGCACTCACCGCATACATTTGGCTGTGAACTAACAGCCAAAAAACACTGATATGCCAGATGAATCTCAGCGTCTCTTCTCGAACGTACAACACCGATGTCCACGTAATCATACGGATTAAACAAAACTCCTCATTGTGCAGCAAGCCATGATATGTTTATTTAAAAATCGTAAAACTCACGTGCAGTAGAAAACAACAAACGACAACACTTCCGTGTAGCATCAAACAGACCCGCCGCCAACTTGTAAATTTGCCTGTACATGTCCCCCCAAAATGTTTCAAATTTCCTAGCTTGTAAACACTGCATCATACAGCCAGCAAGTCAATGGCTGTGCACAGGTGCATGTGGGTATGCATTGCTATTTGTGCTAACCCATATATGGTGTCACAAAGCCCGGACACTGTCGCACTATGCAGGAGGCACTACATGTAGATGTTTTGAGGGAGTGTCTGTTTATGTCCTAGCAACCCCAAGAAGTTTTGCAGACTAACCAATAGTTTGCGTTCCCAATTAAGTGCATGCTGAATTCTTCAAAGTAATATTGTGTTTACACAGAAAAAACAAGTATTCTCCAAATGTATTTTATTAGTCAAAGCGGTAATATAACATCCAACATTATGGAAAATGTAATTTCAATACATTAACATCACAGAAGCTTACTACTACTAACAGAAATTGAAACTCTGCCAACTAATCACACAATTAGAGTTAAAGTTAGACAAAACGTTCCTGCAGTTGTTGGAAAGTATTTGGCTAGGTTAACATGATTAGTAAGAGAGGACACATTCCCCCAGCAACACTCCATTCAACCTGTTTAAGGGTATGGTGCAGTATGTCCTCAAAATAATGGAAGTCTCTCTCCCTGACAAAGTTGTAAAGAACACAACAGGCCTTGATCACATTTGTTGCATTTGCTGGAGTTACCTGCATGCCCATGTGAAGGATATGCCATTTGTTGGCCAGGATCCTGAACATGCACTCAACCATGAGACGCACACAGCTCACCTGATAGGTAAAGATCTGCCTTGCATAGCTTAATCCCCTTTTTGAATAAAGCTACATAAGATGCTTAGCTAGGCTGAATGCATCATCGCCCACAAACACATAAGGGTATGCAGATTCTGTGTTTCCAGGCCATTTTCTTAAGTCCCGCGCTTGTGGGAAAGTTGGGCAGCCTGCTGGGGACCTGGCAGTAGCCGTCTTTGTCAGTGCCTGCCCAGTCCCACATCTCCTCCCTGCGGCACAGGCACAGCTCCGGACAGTCCCACACTACACATACAGCCCTGGAGCCAGCACAAGATCGTCACCTTCCCCATTCAGCTCCCCACCTACCCTTTCAGCACGGCACCTGCCCGCAGAGCCCTAGAAAGACCCACATGCAGCCTGGGGAGATCTGGGCGCAGCACTGGTGACAAACTGCCCTAAAATCATTAGTCTGTATTGTTTTAGAAAAAAATGTCACCTTTAAGAAAAAGTATTGGTAATTGGTATTGGCCAGTGCCTGAGGGAAAGTACTTGGCCTTGAAAAAATGGTATCGGGACATCCCCAATTGAAAATAGAGGTGTCAATACTGCTTCCAAATCACCCTACATCGATGTAAGTGAAGCGATAATCTGCAACTGCAAGAACAACCACAGAAAAGTACTTATAGTTGTTGAATCTACCTGCTTGGTGGCTTCATTATTCGGATATGCTTGCTTCCAGACAGTTTGGAGAATTACATCTCTCCAAAAAAAAAAAATGCCGCAATCTCCTTCCATCTGATGAATCCAGCACTCCTCAAATGTTGCCACCTTGGAGGAAGAAGCTGGACCATCTGTGGTGGAACCTCGCCCAGACAACCAACACTGTGTCCTTCGACCTCCAGATGTGGGCAACTCCCCTAAGGAGGATCTAGACAACACCATGAACAAATGTATGGAGGAGATGCAAAGCGAAAAATTAGCGCTACCACTTTGCAATGTTTTTGGTGCCTTGAATGATGAAGGTGCCCCGTGGTAGATATTAGAGATGCAGCATAAGATGATTGACCTTGTATGGTCTCATACCAGCAGCTCCCCAAAATGTGTCTACGTCCAAGGTGTCTGCTGCTGCACCACCACCGCCAACCCAAGCAGCTCGTCTTTTACACCATGTGAACTCACCCTGTCACCAACCCTGTACACCTCCATCCCCTCTCTTTTTTTTCTCCCATGCCCAGCACCAGCTGGGGGGAATGGGAAACATGCCGGAGGGTCAGAGACCAGACTTCCTGTGTTTTTTTTTTTGTTTTTTTTTTATTATTTGTAAACATTTTGTTGGTTAAAATTTATCTTTTATATTTTTAATATACATTTTTGCAGTAAGGGCACTACCTAGCCCTGACCGTGGTTTGATAGGGAAGTGAAAGGCTCACATACTAAAGACCTGTTCAGATTTGGAAGAACTTACCAAAGTGTAACCGAGAGGTGTTCAGTGGGTGAGACAGGCTGCCTGTAATTTAGTGTTCAAACTGAGTAGGTCAGGGGTCATGATTTCCAGCAGATGATTAAAGCTAAATAAAATTAGGTGATAAATTTACTATTTCAACATAACATATCCTCCTCTCATACGCTGACACATGAATCATTACACATGCTAGACCCAAAACAGCAGAGAAAAACATTATTTTGCCTCTTGCAGGATGTTTCTTACCTTTCAATGGACATCTGGGTATATTAGATATATTAGAAAAAAGTAGCCTCTGCTGACTACGTCATCTAAGAATGGCAGTCATAAGCACCATGAGTATCCCAGCAAACGGAGACATTCTGCTTTTCAGCATTGTAGATTATTTTTTTCCTTGTATATTTCAGCTAATGCTCTAAGGGAGGACTTTAAGTTGTATCATACCTTCAGCACAGACGTTGCAAACTTTCTTAAAGTGCCAGCTGGACAAATAGTTGTCATGCACCCTGAACGATTTCAATCAAAATACGAGCCGAAAATGTACAGTTTTATGATCCAGGTAAGTTTACTGTTTATCTTTTGGAATAATTATCAAAGGTTTGTGAAAATTAAATAACACAGTTGCACTTTTGATTATTGTTTTTTAATTGAGCACCATTACTGCTAATGACCTCCTACACTTGCCATATATTAATATGGCATGGTGCAGTAGTATTCTTGGCACTTTTAAAGGTCTCCCTTATATGAGATGTATTTTCATGTTAACTGCAGGGATCATACAGGGAGAGTATTTTTTGGGCTAAGATACTGGCCCAGGAATGACTCGCAACAATAAGTTGTATGCCCATTTCTGCTGTGATTTTATTGTGTGTGTATATAAACTCAACTGCTCTCCTGTTTTTGCTCCCTTTAGGTCTAATAAATATACCATTGAAAACATTTTGTCATATCGGTTTTATAAGTGCAGAAAAAACTGTTAATCTTCTTAGATATTCAGAGCTGTCCTGTGCTGTCTGCCTGTGTTCTCAGATACATTTAGCTCTACTATTTCTGATTTTGATACTGCAGGTCAAATGGTGTCTATGCTTAGGAAAGACAGTTGAAGTCATTTAGCAACAGGAAACTGGGCAGAGCTGACACCGTTCAGTCTACAAAAATGTGTGTTATCCACCCACAGTAGGAAAACTAAAATGCATAAATACACTCTATACAGGTCATTATTTATTTGGGGCACCCTTGGCAGCAATTAAAACATTGAGTCTGTGTGGATAGGTTTCTCAGCTTTGCACACATGGGCACTGACGTTTTTCCCATTCTTCTTTGCAGACGTTCTCCAGCTCTGTTCAGTTGAATGAGGATTATAAGTGAACAGCCATTTTAAAATACATCCACCAATTCTCTATTGGATTTTAAAAAGCAGAACGTTTCTGGGTTATTCCAGGACATTGTTGTTTTTAAGCCAGTCTTGTGCAGTTTTTTGCTTAGGGCTGATATCCAGCTGAAAGACAAATCTGTCAAGGCTCTGGTATGTTGCATACTGCACCAGGTGTTCCGCCAGGATTTCCGTTTATGCAATCATCCTGCTCTTATAAACCCTCTAAAGTCCTACTGTAGAGAATAAGGATGATGCTATGATTAACTAGCAAACTGGTAGGTGATGTATGTGAGATTTAGTTAAGAGGCTTTCTTGTTACCACTTTCCACCATATTTTTTTACTATGGAACTAGCAACAATTATTGTATTCATAGTCTCTCAAATCTCAGGCACTGAGGCTTGTAACTGCTTCAGAGTTTTCATAGGCTTCTTACTGGCCTCCCTCACTATTCTCCATTTTGCACGGTACTTACTTTTGATGGACAGCTTGGTCCTGGCAGATTTAGCCATGTCATAATTTTTTCCATTTATTATTGATTGATTTAACTGTAGTCCAAGGGATTGTCAGAATGTTTACTCTGATAAATTAAACAGTATTTAATTTATGAAAACAGGCCAGGATCTGGAATTAAGGTGATTCCCTACATATTTTCACAAATCCACTAATAATGCGAGTTCTTTATTTGCGCTAACTTGAAGGCGAAGTAAAAATAATAATGTGCAGAAATATATATATTAACTAAAATCCGTGCAAAAAATATTGGTAATACCATTCCTATCTAATAATAATAATGTACACAAGTTAACTTTTATGGTGAGCTCTTTTTCATATGATAAAAGAAAACCAAAAATCATGGTAATTGTCCTTTGTTTAGATTGAGACACAAGGGGAGGAAAGGGAATGGTGTTGTATAGCAAGTGCCACACCCCTAATTTTGATTGAAAAGAAAAGGTTTGGAAAGGTGGGGTTTTTTAGGCACTCTGAACGATGATTCACTAAAATGTATATAAAATTTATACATTTTATTAAATACATGATTTAAAAAGGTAAATCACGATATAAAAAAAAACAAGAAGAAACACCTCCAATATCCACCGATACCCTGAGTATTAGATGGTTAAGACCAAATTAACATGATTGGTTGAGCTAGTTGATACATAGATATAATTTGTAGGTCTCATCTCCTACAATATGATTGACACATTTCAATTGACTAGCGGCTAGTCTATAGCAATTCATTTGGGTTAAATATTATGGAGACAGATGGTTCAGCTCTATACATATTTGAACAGACAAAACAAATGGCGGAGTCTAAAGCGCTACTACCCTTTGAGAACGGGGAGGGGGGAGGGGGGAGGTAGTTGATGGGGGTTTTCTGTCACGTCAGATGCTCCGTTCGATGTTAACGGCGAGAGGGAGACAGAGGTAACACATGAGGCATAAGTGATGGTGCCAAGAAAAAGAGAGTGTAGTAACTCACCATAATGTTCACATGGGTGTGCCGTCATCGACGTCCGGGTTTCTGTGGTGGGGGCTTGATCCCGTGGATTCCTCCTGGGTTTGATCGAAGTGTGTGCTGGCTCCGTCGGTTTGCTGGAGGGCCGCTGATGAGGTGGTGACGGCGTTCGTTGGTGCCGGAGAGGTCCCGTCAGGTCCGAGGATGGAAGGGGGGCGCTGGTTGGTGTCCTTCTCTGTGAGGTGGTGATGTCGGCCGGTTTGAGCGCGCTGTTGCTGAGGCAGGCGCAGTTGTCGCAAGTTCCGGTCTGGCCGGAAGGAGGTGTACAGGGCGTCCCAGACGTGGGACGGAGGTTCCCGTTGTTATGGCTACGTGGCAACGCGTTTCGAAGACGTGGGCTTCCTTGTCAAGCCAGGGTGAGGGGGAAAGAATTCTGGCGGCAGGTTTAAAAACGAACGGGCGGGGGCGTGGTTATGACGCCTTCGAGTGGGGGGGGTGTCCAATGGTGTGACGGAACTGATGGGCGTGGGAAAGTCAATGGGGAACAGGGCTGTATGTTCAACATGGGTAGAATAATGGTATAATAGGGTGCTGATTTACAGTTGAAATTGGATTATATTATGGTGCTGATCTCAAGTTCCTCATTGAGGCCGTGGGGAGAGAGTGTGAGTTTGTATATCCAATAAGTTTCTTGTTTGCATAGTTCATGAAATCTCTCTGCTGTGGGTAAGCGATCTGGGATTTGCTCGATCACGAAAACTTGTAGGAATTTAATGTTTTTTTGGTGCTTTTGGAGGAAGTGGCGCGGAACACTGTGTTCGGTGTTACCTTTCTCAATAAATCTTCTGTGCTCTCCTATGCGTTTACGTAAGGGGCGGATGGTGCGGCCTATGTAAAGGAGGTTACAAGGGCATCTGAGGCCGTAGAGGACATAGTCGTGGGCGCAAGTGATGAACTGTTTTATGGGAAATGTGTTCCCAGAGCTATCCAGGAATGAGGTTTGACCATGGGTGATAAATTGGCAAGTTAAACAGAGTAGTTTTTTGCATTGATGTACTCCTGTTCTGTTGTTGAAAAAGAAGGTTTTTGTTTTGTTTTTCTTGGTGGGGAGTTTGCTGGGCGCCACTATGTTTTTTTATGCTTTTAGCTTTCCTAAACACTACCGTGGGCTTAGGTGGGAGTATGGGGCCTAATTTGGGGTCACATTGGAGTAAGTGCCAATTCTTTCTCAGAATGGACTCAATGGCTATGAATTTGTTATTGAAAGGTGTGATGAACCTTATCGCACCGTCCTGTGTTGGTAGTTTGTTTTTGTTCTTGCTATTGGGTGCAATGTTTTCTGTTAGGAATGTTTCTTGGGCTCTGTTGATGAGTTTTTTTGCGTAACCCTTTTCTAGAAATTTGTTTTTTAGATGGATACTTGTTTGCGGTAATCTTTCTTTCGGGTGCAATTCTTATTTAGCCTCCAGAACTGTCCTTTCGGGACATTTTGTTTCCAACGGGGGTGGTGGCAGCTGTTGAAGTGTAGATATGAGTTGCCGGCTGTAGGTTTGAAGTGTGTGGTGGTGGTGATGGTCTTGTCTCTGTGGGTGAGTTCAAGATCCAAAAAGGTGAGTTTGTGGTCATCAAGGACATGGGTGAACTTGAGGCCAAAGGGGTTTGCGTTACAGTGTGTCGCGAACTCAGAGCGAACTTGTCAGAGAAGCACAAGGTCCAGGAGTACTGGCAGTAATTTATGAATAATTTATTAATATAATGTCTTTTTTTTTCTCTTAACTTGTTTGGGGGCAGCATTTTTTGGCCTAATTTGCCTTGCAGTAGATACACCCCTGTGTGTGTGTGTGTGTGTATATATATATATATATATAATCTCCCCTTAATGAAGAGTGTCGTGTTTTTGCGACATACCCCTCCCAGCCTGACTGCAGCTAAGGTGGTGTGTTTATTCCACCAATGCTGGTTTATTTGTATTCAATAAGTACCAAAGATTGTTTTGGGAGCAGTGATCGCGCCCTGTTGCAGTAGTATAGTTAGCTACAATTGAAGTAGGCAAATCCTCAGCGCAGTCATGCACATGGCTGCTGACTGCTAATTTTGAGAAAATTTGTGTAAATTTTATGTTATTTGCATAAAATAAAAATATGCAACAGCCTATTGTTTGCAGCTACGGCTTATAAATTGAGGTCAACTCCATGTGACAAAAAATTTCGAAGTTATGTGCAGATTTCGCTTTGTCGCTTTTTTGTGACAGGCAGTTATGGCTGCATATGAACAATATATGTATGTGTAATCTGCTTGATTACATAAGTATGGGTGCAAAGTTGATATTTCAGCATTTTTTTGATCAATCGAGGTTCCACAAGTGGAAGTCTGTTTAGATACTGTGGGTCACTGGCCAGTGGTTAAACGTGGACGGCAACGCTGCAAACTCCCAAATTGTAAGGGCCATAGTGTAACGAAATGTTTGAAGTGCAATGTTCACCTATGCCTCAACAAGATAAAAAACTGCTTTTGATACTTCCAAGAATAAAAATATTACTTCCCATGTGACTTTTTGTTGATTTTATGACATTCTATTGATTTTGTGATCATTTTTGGCATTTGATTTTTTTACCGCAGGTACTGGTCAATAACTTAATTTTATTACTTAAATGCCTAGTGTCGCTAATTTGCATCATACCTACATTTTTCTCCATAGAATGTGCTATTTTTACATTCAGGCATCAAGACATCAAGTGTGTATATATCTTTTTTTGACATTTGTGTCAGGATACAATAACAGAAGAAAACATTAAAGACTATATCCATAAGCATGCTTTGCCTTTGGTTGGCCACAGAACCCATGCTAATGACAATAAAAGATATACAAAGCGCCCACTTTTTGTTGTTTATTACACAGTAGATTTCAGCTTTGACCATCGCACTGGTAAGTTTAGACAAAAAGGAAAATGTCATTGTAATTTGTCATGAGAAGGATCTTCATCCAATAAATAGCACTACTCCAATTCTCCTGTTTTAGGCTTCATGTTTTCTTTTTATCTTGCATTACAGGTATTTGTTAGTTTTCCAAACCATCCATGTAGAGATCCTTGAATACTAGGCCCAAGGTTGCAAGGGGTTTCATCAGCGACTATGACCCAGAGATAGAAATGGGCTCTATATTATGGTCAGACCACTCACCAGTGTACTTAAAAAATAAAAGCTGAAAATAGAAATAGAGGTGGGAACTTGGAGATTAAATGATAATTTACTAAAAAACCTAGACTGTAAAAAAGAGATAAACCTTACTATAAACAATTTCATTAAAGACCACTAAAATTACACTACTTCACACCCCATTCAATGGGAAACCCTAAAATGTGTAGTAAGAGGTATATTTATTAAACATGGAGCCAGATTAAAGAAAGAGAAGGCAAGTAAATTGAAGGGAAAAAAGAAAATAGCACTGCGCTTCAAACTCAAAAATTATATTCCTAAAATGTGAAAAAAATAGTATAAAATGTGAAATTGTCACAAAGGGATACACAAAGGGGGACACAACACCTGTGTTGCACAATGCCTGTGCTGATGATGGTAAAAAAAAAACAAAAAACGTGCTAGTACATCTCATAAAATGTGTACATATAGAAAATCCTGTGTTGAATCTCACAAGTGATGTATAACTCCCACCTAATCTGCATAACCATGTGTGAAGTCCATTACTTCTGGATACAATAAAGTCCTTGTATGTGAGGATATATCTTCTTGCGTTTTATAATCAACACCAACGTCCGTGAATGCAAAAACAATTAGTGAATCAGTGCTCTCCAGTCTCCACCGTGCTCAAAGATAAGATCTGGCCGCACTCACCGACTCCTATTGCTCACCATATTTCAGATGAACAATTAGCGCTTTGCTGATCTATGTAGAACCAAATCCTCTCCTTTGTTTTTAATCCGACAATAAATTGGGTAGATTCCTCCCAACTATGGCTTATCTTTCCAAAATCATGTAAAACTATTCCTCCATCATCCACCTTCTCTTGTGCTCAGAGAGAGAAAAAAGAAGGTGGAAGATGGAGGAATAGTTTTACACGAACAGAATGTGGACATTGTCATCCAATCTCTCTTATAAATATCGATCTGAAGATTTATGCTAAAGTATTGGTGGCTAGGTTAAAAATCTTTCAGTTTCCAATCTTTAATGGAACCCGGCAGGGATGCCCCCTATCACCCTTACTATATGTCATAGTGATGGAACAACTAGCTGCTACTATAAGACAAAATCCATCAATAAAAGGTATTCATTTAGCAACACAACAACATAAAATGGCATTATATGCAGATGATTTACTTTTCTTTATAACTTCCCCATTAACAACCATCCCTAATATTATTAAAGAACTAAAGGAATATGGGGACCTGAGCAATTTTCATATAAATATATCCAAGTCAGAATTCCTGAATATATCCCTAACGGATAAAGTAAAACTTGGCATAAAGGAAAGGTATTAATTTAAATGGCAGCCTAATTCTATTGTATACCTGGGTATTAATATCCCTAAGGATCTCAATACACTCTATGATATTAATTACAGAGATTGGTCTGACAAGATTTTTGCTCAATTTAATACGTGGAGTAATATACTAATGTCTTGGATGGGACGAATAAACGTCCTAAGAATGGACATCTTGCCCAAAATATTGTATAGATTCCAGGCAATACCCATTCTATTGCCAGATACCTTTTTAAAAAAAACTAAGATCAGCAGCAGCGAAATTTGTATGGGCTAACAAAAACCCCTGAATTAGTGTAAAAACTTTAATGAGATCAAAACAAGGAGGAGGATTGGGATTCCCGGACTTTGCACTTTATCATAAAGCGGCCTTAATATCAACATTCTTGGATTGGTTACATAATAGTCAGAATAAAGGGGTGGTAAAACTAGAAATGGATATTTCCCCCATACCTCTGACGAGTATCCCCTGGTTACTAAAAGAGAATAAACCACATATTTTAAACATGCCACTTTTAGTGAAGTCGGTAATACAGATATGGGATAGGTCTATTACTAAATATAATTTATCTGCCAGACCCGGGCCCCTGACTCCCATAGTGGGAAATCCACAATTTCCACCCGGTATGCAAGTGTTCTCCTTACTGAAAGATGAGAACATCTCATATACACGTGTTTGGCAGGTCTTGGAACAAGGTAAAGATGAAGTAAATGAGTTTAGGCCAGAAAAACAAACTAACGGGAAGTTGTGGATGGAGGCGGTCCAACTATTGGATTATATAAGATTCCTTAAGGCTCTTAATCCCCTAGATAGGCCATTAAAACCATTCGAGAAACTCTATTACAGAGACACCTATTACACACACTTTATCAGTGGTCTATGGTATGCTGAGGGAGGTGGAAGATGAGGGACATACAAAATATATGAAAAGATGGGAACAAGACATGAGAGAAATATCTGAGAAGGAATGGAGTAGAATATTTAAAATAACACAGCTCAGTCATGTCTTCATTCCATCAAGAGAAAAATTATAAAGTACTATGTAGATGGTACAGGTGCCCAGAAGGGACTACGGTAAACACATAAACCCAGAGATGTCTAACAGGTGTTGGAGATGTGAAATAGAAGAGGGAACATACTTGCATATCTGGTGGAGTTGTCCTAGGTTACAACCATTCTGGGAGTCGGTGTTTGAAATATATCGCCGTGTGGAGGCAACAAATACTGAAAAGGATCCCCTAATTGCATTATTAACATTGATACCAGGTCAAATAAAAAATGATATTTTAAGATTTATGTTGGTAGCCGCTAAAATAAGTATATCACGGGGCTGGAAACTAACAGTCCCACCCTCAATAGAAAACTGGTCAAATACTATAGAAGAAATAAGGTATATGGAAGAACTAAGTGCAAAGGATACAGATAGGAATGATAGTTATAAGAAGATATGGCAGAAATGGGAATCATTTAGACAATCGGAGGAATTTGAGAAAATGCTGAAAGAAGGATAAAGGCAGCAACTGAAAAAGGATCAAGGGGTAATGCCTGTATGGTCAAATAGGAATAAAGAAAATATGATTATAAAATTATTTAGACAAACATAGTATATGACCTGTATGAATGAAAGACGGAAAGGAATGAAGATGGTTCTCTGGAGAGTAGGGGAAATGGGAAGATGGGATTAAGAAGTGAGGACATGAGGTATATTTAGAAGAAGTAGAAGGGGAAAGGCAGTACACACGGGGTATAGAAAAGTAGGTAATTAGTAGTTAGGATACACAATAAAAGTAGGATCACTATAAATAAGGAAAGTGGTTTATTGTTTATTGTATATTGTTTAGTTATCACACTAGTGAACACATGAGGAAAATAATAAGAATAGAGGAACGTAGACACGATAAGGGGATATAGGGAGGTCTACATATATATTATGGGTTATAGAAGTCACAAACATTAGAGGGGTATTCTAAATGAAGTATAAGGGATGGGTGCACTCCCTTTCCCCTCTCTCCCACTCCCCCCCCCTTAGAAACCATAAGAGTGGGAGTTAGAATGTGAGAAGAGAGTGATAGAGGAAGTAAATATGATGGATGACTAGTGATGGATATTGGAAGTGGGTGAAAGTTGTAGTTATCTCAATTAGAGCTATAAATAATTATTAAAACTAAGATTTGAAATTAATGTTTATGAATGTTTTGTCTAAATGTACTTTTATGGAAACAAAACAATAAAAATATATTAAACAAGGTTGCAAGGGGTATCCATTTCTTACTTGAGATTGAGCCCCTCTACTTTCATTCCACTGTCAGCAAAACTAGTAGGCAGTGGAGGCTTTGACATTTGATAGAGGAACGATGGGGTGGCATTTAATCTGGATTTGGAAATAAGTCAAGGCTTCATATACATACAGCCTGGCCTTAGGATAGGGGGGTTCCACAAGGACTGAGTTGACAAAAGCATAGTTCTTCTTTAATGTTGCTGTTATCTTAATTTCAGCAACCCAGTACTGGAGAAATAAAGTCTTGAATATTGCAAAAGATTTTCCAGAGTATACATTTGCTATTGCTAATGAAGATGATTATGCTTCTGAATTAAAAGACCTTGGATTAAATGAAAGTGGAGAAGAAGTGAACGTAGCAATTCTAGACACAAGTGGTAAAAAATATGCAAAGGATCCTGAAGAATTTGATTCTGATTCCCTTAGGGACTTTGTGTTGGCTTTTAAGAAAGGTAAGCTTTTAAAATGCATTTATTTTTTTAACTTTAATAGTTTTTTTATTTTAAGATTACATAACAAACATTTTACATCAACAATTACATATTAAAATGACAGCCCAGAAATGAAAAAAAAAACACCCACAAAAACCAACATTATACAATTCCTCAAAATACCAATGTACATATCATACCTTCCTACACACCATACTAATATCAGATGAATCAGATATTATAAACCTACTCCCTTACTATATTCAATCCATTTATCCCACATTTTACCAAATGTATCCATATTACCTCTATGCTTAAACATAATTCCCTCGAATCCAACCACTCGCTCTAATTCCTTCTTCCATTCCTCCACTTTTGGAGGTGCTACTGAAATACACCTGGAGGCTATACTACGACGACAACAAACATTGCCCTCGTTATAGCCACCTTCGTATAGTACTCCACTTTTAGGGGTCCAGAAATGCCCAAAATACATAACATTGGATTATTAGAAATGTGAACTCTAAAAGCTTTATTATGTCCACAATTTCCTGCCAATACTATTTCAGCTTTGGACATCTCCATAGCAAATGTATCAGTGAGCCTGGTTCAACCCCACATTTTGGACATTTAGAATTTTCCCTGAGTCCTATCTTATATAGGAATTCAGGGGTCCGGTATGTTCTATGAACAATATAAAGCTGTGTTAGTTTATGTGATGCAGAAGGTGAAACTAATTGGATTGAGAGCAACGCCTCCCTCCATAGGGAATCGTCTAATCGGGCCCACATCCAGTTCTCAACCCGCTTTACATTTCATAGGTGATTTAATCAGAAAATAAGCAAAATTAACCCAGGAAATAAGCATAGTTGCATTAAAGAGTTTATATAGGTCCATATTTATAATAATGCAAACCTCTCAGACGCCTGGATGTGCCATAAGCGCATGCCTCAATTGTAAATATTTGTAAAATTGGGTAGTGAATAAATTGCATGTAATTGTTACAAAGAGTATAACACCCCCTGATCATATAATTGGGCCAATTACAAAATCCCCCTTTTCTTCCACATTCCAAATCCCTGAATTTTGTTTACCTCGTATAGATCCCCCATTATCCCATTGGAGTATATTTTGTAAATTCGGGAATACCCAATAACCTTTTAGTTGATTTCCACATTTTACCAATTAATTTTATAGTGGGTAGGGCTGAAAACTGCTTCACATATAAAGTTGTCTCAAGGGTCATAAGGGGATCTTTATTTTGAAACCAATATTTAATGATATCGTATGCCCCCATCCTCTGCACTGGTTGGTTCCATCCCGCCAAATGTCTTAACTGTGAGGCTAAAAACATAAATTTCTAATTTTATCTGTGCTTGTTTCTTCTTCCATATCAACTCCCTAAACACTGTATGTATCCTCCTAAATATAGTTTGGGAAATCCAACATGGAGAATTGTACAGCATATAAGAGTTGAGGCATCCAAATAATTTTAATGAGATTTAACCTTCCATCGGCGAAAGAGGGCGTTTACACCATACATTGCATTGTTTCTGAAATTTCTGTATCATTGATGTCAAGTTATCTTCCCCATATGTCAACATTTACTCAGATCCTGACACCCAAATAGAGAAATCAATCTACTATTTGTATATGCTGTATCTGTGCCGATAGAGGGCACGGAAGGGGATCAATTGGGAGTAACATGGATTTTTCCCAGTTCACACATAGCCCTGAGAATATACCAAATTCCAGAAGTAAAGACATCACTTCTATTAAAGAATGATTAGTATCTGCTTAAAAAAAACAATGTATCATCGCATATAGTAGTATCTTTTCCTCCTTTACCCCGCTTAAACCCCACTATCTTATCTGATTTTCTTACTAAATTAGCTAATGGTTCTATGGCCAGTGCAAATATAAGGGGAGACGGGGGTCACCCCTGTCTAGTTCACCTCGTCAATTTAAAGGCCGATGATAAGGCCTTATTTACTTGGATTTTTGCTAAAGGATTGGCGTATGATAATTGAATATATGAAATATATCGGGGACCAAAACCAAATGCGCTTAACGCTGCCCATAAATAATCCCACTCAACGCTATCAAAAGCTTTGGCAATGTCCAGGGATAATAAAGCTCTATTCCCCATTATCTTGGACGGAACTTGCATGTTCACATATACCCTTCACACATTATCTGCCGTTGATTTATTAGGCATAAATCCACTCTGATCCAGGTTTATTATCTTCTGAATAACTTTAGATCACCTATTCGCCAACACTTTCGCCAAAATCTTAACATCAACTCCCAGCATCGATATGGGCATATATGACTCTGGGAGTGACACATCTTTCCCTTTTGTAAAACTATAATTGCAGCCATATACATTGACTCAGGTAGTTTTCCCATTACTAAAGCTTCCTCAAAAGTTTGTAACAACGCAGGAATCAAGATGGGGGCATATTTCTTATATATCTCTATTGGTAGTCCATCCAAGCCCGGGGCTTTCCCATTTGGGAAACTATCCACCGCTGCCTCTAATTCTTGGATAGTAAGAGGAGTCTCCAAACTATCTATCAGCCTGTGATAACATATTAAATGGATTATTATTATAGTGAAGATCTAGTGAGATTTATTGATAAGTTACCCTAGTAGTATAGACCCTTTCATAGTACGGTTTAAAGATTAGAAGAATTTTATCCGACTCACTGCACAGTTGGTCATCCATATCCTTCAACACATTTACAAATGGAACTTGTTCCTGCGCCTTCACCAACTGTGCCAGCAGGCTTCCCGTACTCTCGCCCTCTTCCCAATACTTTTGATTGCTGAAAAATAATTTATTCCTAGCTTTCTTACTTTCAATTTGCCTTAGTAGTTCCTGTGCTGCAGTCCAATCATTACAAGCCTTTTTATTAGGATTTAACACAACTGCGTCTCTAAACAAGCTACTTCTTTACATGCCTCTTCCTCCTCCCTATTCCATTGCCTCCTCGTCCTACTTATCTGCTTACATAAATATCCCCTTATATATGCTTTTAAAGAATCCCATACTATCCCCTGTGACGCAGATCCATTATTTGTGCTCAAATTCATTGATATCTCACTTTCTTTTTTTTTTTAAAGCCGTGTTTATTCAGCAAAATGATAAACAGACATTTGCACTTTTTTTTTTTTTAAACTGTGTTTGATATCTCACTATCTAACTTCTATTGTGCTGACAATATAATTAACCATCCTGGATTTAATTTCCAAGGTTACTTAAACTGTCCCCCCCAGTTTCAATTATAGTGATTATTGGTGAGTGATCTGAAAGTGATCTAGGTTGTATCTCAACCGATTTAATTAGTGGCATTACATCCACCGAACATAAAATTTAAATCTATCCTAGATAATGTGTTATGTGTCTTCGAAGAACGTGTATTGATGTTCCTCTGGGTGCAACATCCTCCACACATCCCTTTTATCCAATTTCTTTACAAAAATTATAAAAAATATTTTTAGTGGAATCTTGTGTTTATTTACCAGGAATTTATCTAGTGTCGCATTCATATAATTATTAAAATCCCCCATTACAAGAACATAGGTAATTTAGCCTTAATAAATAATACCAACTTCCGGAGGACTTCAGTAGGGAGGAGGAATATATATATATTTACCAGCACGCAATCTACGTCATAGATGTTACAATGCAAAAATACATATCTACCCTCTTTATCACACACTGCTTGTATATATGAGAAAGCTATACCTTTACAGACTTGTATTGATACACCGCTAGAATATGCAGAGCAACATGTGTGAGCTGTATACTGCACAAATCTGCGCTCCAGCTATCCAACACTATCTCCCATCAAATGCGTTTCTTGTAAGCAGATAATTGACGGTTTATGATACATAATGCTGGACATTACCGCAGATGACTTTGTCTTATTTCCCAGACCCCTAACATTCTAAGATATTGATATTTTTTTGCTTATCCCTTTGCATTTAGTTTTTATATCCAGAACATACAACTATGTAATGCAATTTCCTTATGTTCCAACCATTGGGCATACCACTCTAATATAATAAGTATAGTAAGTAAATATTTTGGTACCATTTAGAAAAGAAAGCGAAAAAACAAACACCAAAAAACAATAACAAAAAGCACATAACTACATTAAATCCTGACAAAAATATACTCCACACAGGAGCCAAATAGGGGATTAGAGACATTATCCATACATTCATCTTACAGTCCAGATCACAGTGTGGTATTAATACTTAATACTAAATATCCTCTATCCTCAAGACCGCTAGTGCTCATCATACCCTAAGATCTCCCATATTACTCAGGATATTTGTCCAGTCAAACTGAGACTGCTAAAGGAGATTCAAAGAAATGAGTCCCTTCATTAGTAATTATACGCATTTTCGCTGGGTATAACATTAAATATTGTATCTTCAGCTGCCGCATTCTTTTTTTCACTTCCTGGAATTCTGCTTTTTTTTTTTTTTTTTTTTTTTTTTAAACATCCTGTGAGTAGTCTGAAAATAACATCACTCTAGCACCTACAATAAATATGGCTCCCAGTTCACAGGCCTTACGGAGGACTGTCTCCTTATCTCTATAATTAGCCAATCTAACCAGCACAGTCCTTGGTGAGTTTCCATGTACATGAGTGTGTGCAGGTATTCTATAAGCACCCTCAATCATAAACATAGGTGATAGATATTATTTTCCTATTGTCTCTAATATCAATTTTTCCATCAACACCACCGGATTTAACCCCTCGGTTTGTTCAGGTATTCCCACCATTCTGATATTGTTGCATCTTGCTCTATTTTCCAGTTCTTCAGTTTTATGGAAATTAACATTAACTTTTTGCAAAACCATTTTAAATTCGACACAGAGACATTTACATCCTCCAACTTATTAATTCTGTCCTCTACCTTCGTAAGCCTCTCATCTTTTGCATGTCTTCTCTGAGAAAGGATATATCTATCGTTATAGCTTGTATTTGCTCCGCCGTGGATGTTAAAGTCACATTACTGGCTTGTACTGCCTACAACACATCTTTAAGAGTGCGGTCACCCTGATTCAAAAAAAGTAACTGTCCATTGGATGTATCCAACATCTCCCCTGTGGCTCCCCGCATATCTTCAGATACTTTACCCAAGGTTTTTCCTTTCCAAGCTTAAACACATTTTATTTGTTTGGTTAGCATCCCTACTTGTTGTAGATCCTCTAGCAAACTTTTCCAGTCATGACTCCACTTCTTTCTGCTTTTCTTTACTGACCTTGGACATGCGGGGTGACTGCTTGGTTCCCCCACTCCTACCGGTCTCTTGGGCAGTCTCTTTTTTTTGTCCTGGTAATAATATTCTATTAATACAGCTCACCTCCACAGGCTGCCAAACCTCACTTTCCTTTTTTAGCCACCATATGGAGCCAATTCCTCTCCAGCAGCTTCTTCTCCACAAACAAGCATGTTGCATTTCCAACTTGCAGCCACTAGAGGGAGCCAACATCCGATCCACCAGGGGAAAAAGAAGAAGAAGAAGAAGAAGAAGAAAAAAAAACGTTCTCCTTCACCCGACAATTCAGTCCTCTGACCGCTGCACGAAGCGGCATCCACCGCAGCCCAGCTCCACGCTGCTCCACCGGCACGCCCGGACCCTGCTAAAAGCCGGGGGGAAGATTATCAGTGCCCTCTCATGCACCTACTGCCCCTCTCACGGCCCTTCATTCGGCCCGTCAATCAGAAGAGGATAGCGCCGGTCCAATTGAAGGAGAGGATCAGGATGGCCACAGGTACATCTCCACGCTTGATCACACACACCAACTCCTACATCCGCTTCCAGGATACCTAAAATGCATTTTTTACAGCAACTAATAATTGTCTTTCTCTTAATAGAGGGTATAAAGGGCAAAAGTATTTGCTGTTGTGCAAGGATCATGTGTGCATCTTTTCTGTATTTGGGGAGGCTTCTGATAACTCGACACTCAAAGCTGTCACATATTGTTGAGAAGTACATCAAGCTATTTGATCCTCTGACCAATGTAGTAGCACACAGGAATACAACAATTCAACTGTATTAATTTCCCTGCACATATTGTGGTTTATAATATATGTATTTTGATAAATATATTTCCTAATCTTTCATGAAGGGACATCAGTAGAATCAGGAATAAAGTACACTCCCCATTATCCGGCATTCAAGCAACCAGCAAAACAAAATCAAGGACATATGTCCTCCAATATGTTTTGCTGGTTGTTTCATAGATGTGTGCACACTAAAAAATGTAATCAGCATTTAAATGTATTTAGTTGCTAATGAAAATTCTCTATTTATTTACATCTTGCTGCAGGCTGTCTGCTAGATTCCGCAGCCGGCAGCTGAATGTAAACAGGCAGTGGGCAGGAGCAATAGCCAGCCTGCTATTCGCTATTTCAAATTGCAAAAGCCAATAGCAGGCTAGCCATTGCACCCGCTCGCTGCCATTGAGCAGAGGAGCAGACCTGAGAGAGAACTTTCTCTCTCATTTCCGCTCTTCTGCTTGTTGACAGCAGGCATTGGCTATTTCGAGTTGAAATAGCCAATAGCAGGCTGGATAGTGTGCCTGCTCACTGTTTACATTAGATCATAATGTCAAATCTGCGCTTATGGGTAGTCCTAGAGAATTATTAGATATTTTTTACAGCTGCTGCACTATAGACACACCTGGTCCAGCTTGTGAATAATAATAAATATGCAGCGCTATGGGTCCAGATAGTAACTAGTTAAATGGGTCTAATCTAAAGGATATTGGTTAGACAATAACCGCAAAGTGTGCATAAATATAAATAAACAGACCTCTTTTGGTCCAATTTGTGCAAAGAATGCAAATGGTGCATATAAATACGATTAAATCTATAAATTTGTAAAGGTATAAACCATTACCTCATATAAACTGTAAATCACTACAAATATGTCTATGGCGGACTTTATAGCACTGGAATCTTTACAGAATGATAACTCCATAATCATTAAGCCAGCGGACAAAGGGGAGCTAAACTGTAACAGTTCTACACGGGTAACGAGAGAAACAATGCGTAAACCTGTTGCTAACTTGTCCTCCCCTTATTGATTTATGGGTTACCAAAGGTCATAAAGGACTAGATCCCCTCAAATTCCGGCCCATTGTATCAGGCACTGACTTTGCAATACAGCCCCTTGCACTGCTCATGAACTTATATTTACAGCGGTGCTTCTGTGTGCTTGGCACACGAAAGCCTGCTTGGAGTTTGCAAAAAAGCACCTGAAGGATGCTGACTGTGAGGAGCAAGCATCTCTGCCCTGATGAAACCGAGTGTCATGGTCCTTGGAATACTTTATTTCCTGGGACGTCTCTGTGTCATTATACATATCAGCCCTCCCATTCAAGCTATCGGACCAATCCCTGCTGACCCTGTTTTCAAGTCCGCATTTGCATGGCCAAGAGGACCTAAGTGAGGACTAGAGGATACTTTACAATTGACCAATAAGAAGGTGGTCAGTTGGGTGGGGCGTTCAGACTGTTGTGTATAAAAGTGTGTGTGTGCATCCAATGGCAAGCGGCGGGATCTGCTCTCCCATTACTGGGACACTCCAAACCACCACGGGGAATGACACGCTGAAAGACCTACTTGAGAGCCAAGGAGGGACTGCTGGGACAAAGAACAAGGCCACCCTGATCGGTGAGCTAGCCAAGATGGATCAGAGGGATGGTGATGATGGACCCCAGTCAGTTGAAGACTTGTTTCAGCAACGAGTTCGAGAGCGGTTGCTATTATATGGTGCCAACCCATCAGAGACCACCATACAGAATGCCATTAGAGACATCCAGCTGCAGGATGAGCGATGAGAGAACTAGAGCGGCAACATGAGTGGGGAATGGCGGAAATACGGCATTCAGAGACAACACCTAAAGATACAGCGCCTTTCCGTAAGTTGCCCTTTCGGGCGTTCACTATTTAAGGAAGGAGAGGAGGAAATTTAAACGTTCCTACAGGACTTTGAGAGACTATGCCAGACACAAAGTACTGTACCAAGATTGGGTCGCCTTACTGGCGAGTAATTTAACTGGCAAAGCGGCAGATGCGTATCGGGCCATCGAGGACACTAAGGATTATGACTGGTTATGAAAAGAAGCTCTGCTAGCCCGATTTGCCATTACACCCGAATCCAGCCGGATTAAGTTTCGAGAATCCCGGAAACAAACCAACATAATATATGTGGAGTGGGCACATCGTCTGCAGCGGAACCTTAAGGGCTGGTTTCAGGGAAGCCACGCTCATACCATAGAAGACATCACCCAGCTGGTACTCTTAGAACAGTTCTTCGACCACACCCCTCTGGTAGTACGGGATTGGGTGCGAGATAAGCGACCACGGACTGTACAGCAAGCAGCTTCTTTGGCCGATGAATGTCTGGACTCCCGGAGGTCAGGCGAAAGCGAGCGCTATCCACTACCTCGGCCCAGTTTATCTGCCTCTAACCCAACTGCAGTACCTCAGTGGTCTGCCTCTAGATCCTCAGCCCGACCAAACCCTCCTACCGGACCTAAGTGCTATACCTGTAACCAAACCGGTCATCTGCAGCGATATTGCCCTACCCGATCCACGAGGTACTGTGAGACTGCTCATCCATCCAGACCAGCGGCTCATTGCTTTCAGAACGAGCCCAACCCTCGATGTTCAGGAAGAGTGCGGCAAACTTTTTGAGGCTGATCCCGTCCAAGTTGCTCCCGGAGATAATCGGCAGCACCATCGTCAGGCAGTAAGGGGTTAATGAGCAGCAGGCCCAGGGACTCTGCGATTCCGGGGCTACGATTTACCCTCACTCAGCCTCGCATGATTCCCCAGTCGGCCCGGACTGGCCAGACTGTTGCAGTAAGGGTAGCAGGGGGCAAGGTGCTACGTTTTATCCACTGCCCGAGTCCTCTTGGATTGGGGCTCAGGGGAGCGACAAGTGCAAGTGGGGTTATTACGTGAGTTACCCGCGGAAGTACTTTTGGGGAACGATTTGGGGCGTTTAACTTCCTCATATGCCCCAGAGACCGCCATGGCCGTGAACACCCGACGACAGAGCCAACTTCAAGGCAACTCCACTCCTATGGGGACCCAGGTAAATCCTCCTACGTTACCCCGACTTGACAACCCCGTGTCCTGGGATTCTCCCTCCGACGTTAGGCAAGAGACCCAGAGTGACCCTACTTTAGCTGGTTATTGGGACAGGGCGGGCAAGGATCCAGGGGGGTTGGGGGAAGACAGAATAGAGTGGGAGGGGGGGTTTCTTTATCATTGCAGTGAGGGGGTGGGCACCGGGAAGCGACAGGGTCCCCACAAACAGCTAGTCGTACCCAAGAAATACAGACGGGAGATATTGCGGCTGGCTCACGACATCCCCTTGGCCAGACATTTAGGGATAGCTAAGACCCGGAGTCGGTTGTCTCGTGCTTTCTTCTGCCCCAGGTTACATGCTGAGGTGCGAGAATACTGTCGGACCTGTGAGACCTGTCAGAGAGTAGGAAAGACGATATTCTTGGATTACGCCACCCGCTACCCAGAGACCATTCCCCTATCCAATATCCAGGCTGATACGGTAACAGATACCTTACTGCGGGTATACACTAGGGTAGGGTTTCCCCAGGAGATATTGTCAGATCAGGGAACCTAGTTCACAGCCGAGCTGACGGAGTGGAGAGTAGGAAGGATTGGGAGAAATATCTTCCCCCATCTACCGTTCGCCTATAGAGGTACCCCAAGAGTCCACGGGGTTTTCCCCATTTGAGCTGTTGTATGGGCGAAGTGTTAGGGGACCCTTAGACTTAGTGAGGGCCCAGTGGGAGGGGGTAGAGGATCAGGAAGGCCTCCCCATCCTTAGTTATGTCTTGGAACTCAGGGAGCGACTGCAGGAACTCACCGATCTAGTCCATGAGAATATGCAATCGGCCCAGAGTCAGCAGAAGGTTTGGTACGATCGATCTGCGCGGAATCGCACCTTTTGTGTCGGAAAAAGTCCTGGTACTAAAACCCCTGAAGCAAAATAAATTATAGGCTTCCTGGCAGGGCCCCTATCAGGTGGTAAAACAGCTGTGCGATACCACCTCCGTGGTCGCCAGCTGTGCAGACACAAAAATGAAGAGGGTGTTCCACATCAATATGATAAAGGCCTACCACGAGAGGGCTGAGGCAGTAGTCGCCATATGTGCTCCTGCCACCGGGGACTCTGAATACCTACCGATGCTGGAGCTTCCCGAAATCAGTAACCATTCTGGGGGGGTGGAAGATATTCGGCTAGGAGATAGGTTAGGATCCCAAGAACGAGAACAGGTCAGGGAATTTCGCCAGGACCGGCAGGAGATGTTCTCAGCACTCCCAGGGTATACTCGCATAGCTGTGCACAAGGTAGAGATCCCTGGGCAGAAGCCCCTGAGACAACCAGCCTATAGGATTCCCGGAGCCGTGCAAGAAGGGATGAGAGCAGAGATTGGGGAGATGCTCGCGTTATGGGTGATCGAGCCATCAGCAAGCCCCTGGGCTTCCCCTGTAGTATTAGTCCCAAAACGGGATGGCACATTGTGTGGACAATAGGCGACTGAATGACTGTACTGTGACAGACGCCTACCCTATGCCCCGAGTGGACGAATTGTTGGACAAAATAGCTCAGGGACACTATCTGATGACTATTGACTTATGTAAGGGCTAATGGCAGATTCCCTTGGAAGTGGAAGCAATTCCAAAGTCGGCCGTCATCACCCCGTTCGGCCTTTACCAGTTTCGGGTAATGCCATTCGGGATGAAGAATGCTCCGGCTACCTTCCAGCGGATGATAGATAAACTCCTCGGTGGTCTGCAAGATTTTGCATGCGCATATCTTGACGACATCGCAATCTATAGCCATACATGGGAGGAGCATCTCAGACACCTGGGAATAGTGCTAGATAGGATTCGAGCCGCAGACCTGACACTGAAGCCAGACAAATGTAATATCGGGATGTCCGAGGTCCAATATCTGGGACATAGAGTGGGATGTCGGAAGCAGAGGCCGGAACCTGCAAAAATCGAGGCCGTCCTAAACTGGCCGCTTCCCAGAACAAAGACCTGTGGTCCCCGGAGTGTGAAACAGCGTTTCATCAGTTAAAAAAACTCCCCAGCGCAAGCTCCAATACTGGCGGCACCCGATCCTAACAAATGCTTTGTTGTCCATACGGACGCCTCCATGTTCGGACTGGGAGCCAAACTAAGTCAAGTTGGCAACGACGAGAAAGGGCACCCGGTGGCGTATCTCAGCCGCAAGTTGTTACCCCGTGAAGTTGGATACGCTGCCGTGGAAAAAGAGTGTTTGGTCTTAGTCTGGGCTTTAAAGAAATTGCAGTCCTACGTGTATGGTCACTCTTTTACCGTCATGACGGACCACAATCCCTTGATATGGCTAAACCGTGTGGCGGGAGAGAACGGCCGATTACCAAGGTGGAGCCTGGCTTTGCAACCATACAATTTCACCATACAATATCAGCCAGGACCTCAAAACGGGAATGCGGATGGGTTATCCCGGCAGACGGACCTGGAACCTTAAGGCTACTTTTCCAACATTCTCGAGTTGACCCATTCGGGGTCCCACTGTGGCTGTTGAACTGTTTCCCAGGGGGGAGTATTGTCATGGTCCTTGGAATACTTTAATTCCTGGGACCTCTCTGTGTCATTATAAATATCAGCCCTCACAGTCATTATAAATATCAGCCCTCACATTCAAGCTATCGGACCAATCCCTGCTGACCCTGTTTCAAGTCCTCATTTGCATGGTCAAGAGGACCTAAGTGAGGACTAGAGGATACTTTACAATTGACCAATAGGAAGGTGGTCGGTTGGGCGGGCCGTTCAAACTGTTGTGTGTAAAAGTGTGTGTGATTCCTGTTTGAACTTACATACAGCCTGCCTGGTGTTTGTTCTGAGCGATCACCACTGGATACGAATGGCACATAGCTGTAGTTCGAATCCCGAATTATCGTTACACCGAGATTGAACTATTTGGCCTTAATTCTAAACATTATGTCAGGAGGAAACCAGGCACGCTAATCACCTGCCCAATACCATCCCAACAGTGAAGCATGGTGGTGGCAGTATCATGCTGTAGGTGTTTTTCAGCAGCACTGGGAGACTGCTCCATTCAGCTTTCCCTCAACCCTGACCAAAGTACAGAGATATCCTCTAATGGTCTTTCCTGAGGAGATTTCAGAATTACATGGCCTAATGGGCTCCTGGATCACCCATTAAGCTTGAAAGTTTTTCAGCCAGACAGGACATAAATGCAAGAAAAGCCCCTGCTTGCCGCAGTACAAGCAGAGGCCATGAGTCCTACGCTTGGCACGTTCAGTATCCAACAAATGCACAGCTCCATGGGTTCCTCCTCAGGAGAGACTGGAGGGGGGGTGACGGGAGCAGATAGTTCCCGAAAGGGTCGTTTGTAAACAGATTTGCAAGGATAATATTGCCTGTGGTGCTACCTTTTCAGCATAATGGGTGTGTACTAAAATACATTGGTTGATTTAAATCCTCCAGACTCTCAGGAACCTCGCTGAAGGTGATCTCATCCTTTAAGTGATCAGTCAGGCCCCTACGAAAGGAGGCCTCGAGGCTGCTATTATCCTAGGAGGTCTCTGCAGCTAATGTACGGAATTCTATGTCTTTGGATGCTACAGAGCGTGGCACTTGGCGCAGATCAAGGATATTGGCCTCTCCAGCAGATACTACCAGGAGTGTCAAATATTCTTTGGAAGGTTTCAATGAAATTGTGGTAATCTGCCAGCAGAGGTGAATCCTTCTCCAGAAATGGCGAGACCCATGACAATGCTTTACCTTTAAGCAATGATATTAGAAGGTAACTTTGGCATGTGAAGTAGCAAAGACAGAAGGTTGGTTTCTAAAATGTTACTGGCAGTGGTTGAGAAAGCCAGAAGGATTACCATCATATTTTTCTGGGAGTAGAATCTTAGGGGCTGGAGTAGCAGGAGACTCCGGCATAGTAACAGGGTCTCTGGCCATAGCCCCTAAAATACTAGGTGCTTCAAGAGCCGATCCCTGTGTAGTTGACAATGCAGATAACATAGAGTTGGTAGTCGCAAGTTTTCCCTCTAAGGACTTCATCTGGTTGGCATGCTCACCCAGAAATTGCCCTTGAAGAGAGACTGTGTGCACCAGCTTGTTAAGATCCATATTGGCCCAAGTATACTGTTAGGCACGCCAGGAAGTCCCACCTGTCACTCCATTTCCTGACCGGTAGTCTTGTTATCCCAATGTCAGGTGGAGAGACAGATCGGAATCTCGTAGCTGGAAAAAGCAGGGACCTGATGAGCGAAGCGTAGGCAGAGCAGGACCAGCAATACAATAACGATGAAAGGAACTATTGACAGTATAGTGTCGGCCCGGGTCAGTAGCCAGTAACTAGAATTGCGTAGTACCAAAGGAAATGGGAACTCGGCATCAGAAACCAGGCTGGGTCAGCAACAAACTGCTTCATCTGGACTACCCTTTGGAACTGTTGACTTCAGAGTCAAACTCCAAGCCGGGTCAGCAACAAACGGAAGCACAGTACAAAATGGTAATCCAAAGGCAGGTGGGGGACAAGGACAACAGTTCCCACCCCAACAATTCTCCTAAAGGATCTGGTTTTTCGCCAGAGCTAAGGTATTTTAAATATGTCAGTAAAATAAAAGACACCGTTCACTTACCCTAGATGATCACTAGATGCCACCGCTGCCACCATCTGAAAGGGTTCATCAACTCCTTAACCGGACTTCACAGGAAGATTCGTTAGGACGGATCCGGGAACACATTCAAACACTATAGATTGTCTAAACATGTTTGATTTATTGTTTCACAGGCAGGGTTTATATACTACATTGAAACATAGAAGCAAGTCATGAGTCATAGAACTGGCAGTTTGGTCATTCAATGAGAACAGGAAATCTGGATAGATGCAAAGTACCACAAGATAAGGGAAGTGCGAATATACTGACCAACTGATATTACATCCTTGTGCTAGTCTTGTCTCCTAATATGGTCTGTTAGTAAAGCGGATATTAATACTGACCCTTCCAATACCCAAAAAGTTGTTACTCAGAAGGGTTTTTATACCCCGATTAGGGTTTTGTAAAGAAGCATCACATCCCTGTCTGCTTTAAACCAAGCAATACACCGAGACAACTGGTTCACCCAAAAGACCCAATGTCAAAACACAAGATTAACAACATTGTCTATGCAGTCCAGTGCAGTGAGGAGTGCTCAGAATTGTATGTCGGTAAAACAAAGCAGCAGCTACACCAGCATATGGCATAGCATAGAAGAGCCAAACCCTTTGGTCAGAATTCAGCAGTATACCTATACCTAAAGGAAAAAGGTCACTCCTTTTTGAAGACATCCAGTCCCCCACATACAATGCTGTTTTAATACCTCTCTCTGGGCAGGTTAAGAACACCCTCCTAGCTCCAATTATGGAATGCAATAAACACCTAGTTGCAATTAACAGATTATGTGTATTGGAGCAACATTCACCATATTTATTCCCAGATAATTTTTGTACAAGTCATTCTGAATTGAGAAAGCTAGTTGGATGACCAGTCAAACGTCTTCAAGAAAAATACAGCAAGTCTAGTTGCCTTGACTTTTTACAGACATACCCAAAAGGACTGGAGGCTGTAATTACTGACAAAGGTGCGGCAAAAAAGGTACGGAGTAAAGGGTCTGAATACATATGCCAATGTGATATTTCAGTTTTTCCTTTTTTATACATTTGCAAACATCTAAAATTCTGTTTTCAATTTGTCATTAT